CATTAAACTTAGTTTTAGCTTTTTTTTTCAAAAGATATATTAAAGCTGGGTTTCTCTCCCAAAATGAATTAAATATTTTAGTTGAATGCACAATATTTGATGCGAGAGACGGCCCTACATTAACATAATAATTGTTAAATTTTTGACATATGTTTATTTCATTTTTTATAATTTTTTTGTTTAAAGTCAATTTTTGTGGCAAACGAGCGTGCTTTATTTTTTTTCTCTCGGTAACTTGATTGATTATGGACTACGTTTTCTTTATATCAAACTGATGTTTATCGAGTTGATTAAAAAAGTAACTATACTATTATACTACCAACTAAATATAATTGTCTTGTTCTCATACGCCAAAACCACCCCTTATGAAAGTCGGTAATTGTCTTAACTTTTTTTTTATACTTTGGAAAAATTGTTAGTAACTTTTGTACGCTTTTTCATCTCTTTCATTTTTAGTTTGAAGAAACTTTACATAGAATTTTTGTTTTCTTTTAAATGACTTGATAAAAATACTTGTCTTTTTAATTTCTTTGACCCGACTTGTTGTTCTGTGCAAGATTATTAATTTTAGTACAAGAATTGCTTAAGCTATGGTCAGCCATAAGAAAATGACAATAACAGTTGTAGAGAAATAAATGTATATCGTCACCAGTAATGTATGACTATTTTTTAGAAATAAAGAAAAATTTTGAAAAAGTACTTTTATCCTATTTAATTTCTTAACTTTAAATAAAAATTAAAAAAGCAGTTATTTTAAAAATTTTTGAAAAGATTTTCCTTTCTTATTTTTTCCATCTTATGCTTTATATATACATCTCTTTGATGTTCTTGCCCTGGTTAACCTTTTAATGACTGATTAAAAAGGTATTTAAGAATAAGTAACGTTATTTTAATAGCGCCAAAACGCAGAATATCTAAAATACCCACAACAAAAACAAAATAAGTAAAGATTCGGATTTTTGAAAATTTTCGAATCGTATTTCGAATCATATTTTTGATTCGATTCGATTCAAAATTTCAAAGCTTCGCAGTGCCCTAATATATATATATATATATATATATATATATATATATATATATATATATATATATATATATATATATATATTTATATTATATATACATATAAATTTCAACTTTTTTTCTATTATGTATAGTGTCTTTGAGTGTCTATATAGGATCAATATTTAAAGGTAAAAGTTTAAGTTTAGCTAATTTTATAAAAAAACTAATTTGAAGTTTATTAGTCATCTCTGAGTAAAATTAAATTGAATTTTCAACCTTAAATATATTATTGTTACAACTATTAAATAATTCGACTGTCGACTGAAATCGACTAACACATTTTAAAAATTGTGCTTTATTTGAATTTTAAAAACTGATTAAAAGTTGATTTTGTAGAAACATGGAAATAATTTTTTTTTTAAAGTAAATTATCATAAAAAAAAAATAAGTCAATTTATTTTTGTTTTCTATTTTTTAACATCATATCACTTAAATGTTAATGGAACAAAACAACATAAGAACGGCCGCTCCGACAACTGGACAATTTATTCCAAGACCCCAATAATTTAAGAACTGGCTTAAATACTTGCAAAAGTCTTTACAATCATATTTACAATGCGATTGTATAGAAAATATTTTGACTTTGAATCTTCACAAGCGCGAAGAATGATAATGAGACTCCAAAGTAAGACTCTTCACCGTTATCGCCGATAGTCGCCACCGTCATAGCTTGTGCATTTCAAGGTAAAGAAGTGCATAGTAGTGTAAGTTGATTCTCGGAAAAACTATTTAACAATATCATAACCATATCTGACAACGACCTTAACGGACACAATCTAATTTCAACATACATTGAGCGCAACCTTGAAGTTGTAATGAGCACTAACCTTGGAGTATTTTGCATCTGTATAGCTTAAATGTTAGTTTTTTACTTCTAGAAACACTTCAAGCTTTTTCAACAAAATGTACTCTAATATTCTATAGCCTATTAACCAATATACAATCTAATTCAAATTGTATCACTATACCAGCGTCTATTTCATCAGGTACACAACCTTTACGTAAACTAAAATGATTTAAAAACTGATTTTAGGTTCACTCCCAATGGACACGAAACCTAAAAAAGAGGTCATTTGAATGTTCAAAAGACGTTTAGAACGTTTAAAAGACGTTCAAAAGACGCCTTTTTTACGTCACGTACCAACTGGACATTAGAACAAAAGCGTCTATTGAACACTCATGTTTGAAATAAATTGGATTCATCTCTGTCGTAAGATAAGATAATAATAATTCATCTCTGTCGTAAGATAAGATAATAATAATGATAATTTTTTTAAAAAAGAAATAAAATAGTAGTTTCAATATTTTGAAGAATCTATTAATTCTTATCAATGAATGATAACTGTGTTGCATAAGTATTACTTAATCTAGATGCATGAAAATATGGATGTAAAATAACAGTTTTACAAATAAATATACGGTCATCAACTTTTATAACTGTACATATTTTTAATTTAAATTTCTTTTAAAAATATGCACAATATATGGGCGCCTAATTGCTGCTATGCCCCGGGCGTTATGAAAGCTCTCGGCGGCACTGATGCCATGTAACTACAGGTATTAAAGATGAGGCAAAAATTAAAATGTACCAGTTTTCACCGCAATTGAAGTTTTTATTGTATTTATATAGATTAAAAAGTAATAATAATAAACGGAGAAGAAATCAATTGAAGATATTATTTTGTAATCAATTGTTTGTAAGTCAGATGCTCTCACAAAAATTTTTACGTCAACTTAACGCTACGTTACAGATTAGGCTAATATTTTAACTACTCGAGCTTAACGCACGTATTGCTCATTTTAAGCATTACTCATATTAAGCAAAACAGCTGCTACTAGCAACAAGACTGCGTACCATAAGCTATGTTAAACGCGATAATTTATACCCAATAAAATAGTTAACACAATATACAAGATGTTTCTGAGCCACAATTTTTACAAAAAATTGTTAAAACACATTTACTATCTAAAAGTTTCTTATTTCCCACGTAAACAGTTTGTATTATTTAAAACGTTGTTAAACTTAAACGATGCAATCATTAATGATGCATTAATATTTGCAGATTTCTAAAACTTTAAATTCTGATAACAAATACTCACGTTTCTATTATTTTAACTCGAAAATTAAGATGAACTTATACACAAATTAAAATACTATTTAAAAGAAATGCGTATACTGCTTTTAAGTGACTAAAAAAATCTTTAGACAGTTTTAATAAAGTTTAATCATTTTTATCAAAAAGGTGAAATGGTGATAAAAAAAACTTTTTCAAACAGTTGAAATACAAATTAAAACCAAGAAATAAACTAAATCATTAGGAGTTTAAACAAAAAAAGATTTTTATTGACGAAGTTTTATTATTGTTACGACTTAAAAGAGAAAAATGAAAAATTTAACAAGAAAAAAAAAATAAAACTTAAGCGCGTCGGAATAAAAGTTTATAAAGAAGCGTACAGTGTGAATAGAGGAAAATGAGCGTTTTACTGTTTGCACTGACCCGTGTTAATTTTACAACCTCAAAATTGATCATTTGATCTTAACAAACGGACACAAAAGTTTTGTAATATGTGTGCATAACTTGTTATGAATAAGTAAAAAAAAAAAAAAAAAAACCAATTCATCATTGTTCATGTGGTTTAGTAAGAGAAGAGAAGTTTGCAAATTTTAATATCGATTTAATGAATTCAATCTAAAAACTAAAATTAACCGGAGTTGTTTTCATATTTTACGCACTAATATTTACTAAACACACACAAAAAAAACAATGAAGATAGTTTGTTTCACAGGAATAATTCTACTTGTTTGTACACAGGTGCAATCTCAACAGGGACCACCAGGTCCGCCTGGGATCCAAGGTCCACCAGGGCCACCAGGAGAACCAGCGCCTTGTCAAAACGAATGTAAGTACTTTGTGAATGTGATATTACTAGCTTAAGAGTATATAAAACCTTATTTTACTGTCGTATTATACTGTCGTATATACTAGTCTAAAAATCATGAAACTACTACGAAAATAATAAAATTTAAAAATTTGCATTATTTTTCAAGAAAAAAAAAAACAAACAAACAAAAAAACGCTTTTAGTATTTTAAGAACTCCAAAAATGTTCATTAAAAAAAAAAGACATTTTAAAATGGTTTTTTTATTTTAAAATCGTTTATTAAAAAAATAGTTTTACTTAAAAAAGGATGACTTTTTGAAAAAAAATTTCACCCACCAATCATATTCTTTTATATCATTAATTCTTAAGATTGCGTATCGACTTATTTGAGAGTATATACGGTAAGATAATACTTTGCTTTTAAAGAATTCTTAAGATAATTCAATATGGCACTCTTTTAGTAGCAACCAGTGGGGCATTTAGAATTTCAGTGTTTAAAAAAACCTAAAATAATTGTTTAACTTATGGGAATAGTACAAAAAATAAATATATACAACGCGTCCCTCCAAAAAAAACACCTAACTTTCGGAAGCATTTACCCCTTCAAATATCTATTTGGTTGCAACTTTTAAAGTACAATAACAAAGAACTATCTTTCTTTTTTTAATGCTCCTTTTATAGGTGTTGGGAAAGGCTGCGAGCCTCTATGTCTAGTGGGTTGCTGCGGATATCATGGAATGTACGGCAAGTCAAAAAGATGGATTATGGAGCAAGTGTTAAATAAAAAAGAATAATATAGTTTTTTAACATGTATATTTTTAGGTAGAATAAATGTTCTGTTTGTCATTTTTGTTTTGAGTAACATGGATAGTAAAATATAAAATTTATAAAATATAAAAATTAGTTAGCATGTATAAGCTTAACACCATCTCCTCCTAATTTCGTCACCCACCAATCATATTCTTTTATATCATTAATTATTAAGTCTAAAACGGATTGAGAAATATCAGTCACTAACGAATAAACGCAGCCACCGCCACCTGCTCCGGTAATTTTAGGGTGCAATCCATGTTTTTTACATATAGTAATAACTTTATTAACTACAGGGTGAGAGACACCAATCGCTTCCAATAAATGTTGATTGATATCAATTAAATGCTAAAAATACAAGAAACAAAATATAATTACATTTTCATGAAATCATATATCATTATAAATTAAATCATTATCATGAATTTCTGATGAGTCTTTATAAGAAACACCGTAAAATGAAAAAAAAGTGATTTTCAACTAATTTATAATTGCTCAATTCTTTTAAAAACCACTACAATAATACTTGTTCGAGAATTGCACTTGTGATAAAATATCGTATCGATGCTTTTATGCGCCATCTATCATAACTATTAATTACGTGTAAGACACAATCTAAAGTTTGCTAAGTTTACTTTGGTTAACAATTATCGTTAAAAAAAAAAAAAGAAACATTTAGTATTATTGCAATGGGTTGGTTATTTAAAAATATATTTACACTATACATATTACTGAAAGCAAGCATTAAGCGAAGAAATTTATTTTATTTTCCTTTTTATTTATTTATTCCTTTTTATTTACCTGCTAGCCTAGAAAATTTTTTTTTCTAAAAGATTTCATTTCAAGCGGGTAGAGAGCATTAGTTGGACGTCTTAAGAATATTATACAGACTTGTGACGTCTATTATACAGACTTGTGACGTCTATTATACAGACTTGTGACGTCTATTATACAGACTTGTGACGTCTATAAGACTTGTGACGTCTATAAGGCGTAGTATAGATGCCTTACGGACGCATGCTCGTCCGTAAGTCAATGCTCTCAGCAATTACACATTCAATTAAAATTAATAAACACATTCAATTAAAATTAATGCTCACATTCAATTAAAATTAATGTCAATCCAAAAAGACATTTCTTTGTTATTGTTGACTACAAATAATTTTTGATAATCTATCGAAACTTCTCTCATCGTAAGCAATTGTAAAAGGAAGAGTCAAGTCATTTTGGTAGAGTATACACAAGTTAGGAAAACATGATGTCGTCTATTTCTCTATTAAGAATAGATGTAGGTCTTTCTTTGTAGTTCAGTCGTCATTGCTGGAGATATTGATATATAAACTTTAAAAGTAGGGCCGGCGCGAGGGTTTAAATGGGGAGAGGATGCGGGTATTTTTAAACATTTTAACACATAAAAATAAATCTAAATAAATCTAAATATATATATATATATATATATATATATATATATATATATATATATATATATATATATATATATATCATGGCCTAATTAAATTACACGGCCTGATTTGTTGCATTTTCCGTAAAAAAATTAAGAGGCCAGTTTTTTTTACGGCTTAAGTATAAAAACTTAAATTTTTTTATGGTTAAGAGTCTTGTTTGCACTATAATTGTTTTATTTTTATTTTATTAAAATGGTTTAATAATAGTTAGATTTTCTTTGAGTTCTCACATTAATTTGTGCTAGATTTTCTGTTAACTGATTGCCTGCTTCAGTTTATCTCCATAACAAAGAATACTGAAATAGGCTTTCACATAGCTATATCAACACATATTAACATGCTACTAAAAATAATCTTACATATTGCTAAAACTACCCACAACTCTCCATTGGAAATAATTTTAAAGGTTTGTAATTTTGTATTTATTATAATTGCAATTATTAAGTAGAAAACATAAACTTTTCTTTAAATTATTTACACTGCAAAACAAGGTTTTGCATTGTAAATACTTTATTATGCTGCATGTCTCAAACATACAGCAATTAAAATGTAAAAAATCAGGCTATTTATTTACAGTAGCCAAGAAATATCAGGCATACCAACTGTTTTGGAGTCAATAGCTGTTAATAAAATTCTAATTTTTTTTATTGCCAAATAAATGGTTAACATACGTCTTTATTTAAATGGTTTCGCAATGATGAAAAATACAAATTAAAAAACTATAATATATTAGAAAAATCATTGACAAAAATTTGGTATTAAGAGATTATTTGCTTTTTGTGGGAAAGGTGTACTTCCAAAAAGCAGCCCAAAGTGGTAAACAATTTGATGAAGATTGAGAAAACAATCTTTATAAAGAATTTGTTTTTGTTTTTTTGATTGTAGGGCTTCAAAAATATATTCTTATGTTTTGAAATCATAACCTAAAGTTTACATAACAGGTTTATGTTTGAAAAAAGAAATTGATGAGTGTATTACCTCAATGCACCAATCTTAATTTAAGATAAGAACTATTGTTACCGATAACCATTCTACAAATGTTAATGCATTTTTATAGGTTCATAAAGCATATAATGGAGATGGAAAATTATTAATTTATCATTTAGTTTAGAAACGGAGTGTTTAAAATATACTTGTTATTTGATAAACTCGGTTTTTGTTTTTTTCTTCTTGTTGAAGTTACTGCTGATTACATTGCAGGGAATATATTTCTTAAAGTTTATTAAAAGATCACTTATTAAACAAGCAAGAAAAAGCAAGAAAAATAAATGATCAAACCACATATTTTGGTAACAACAAACAAGTTGTCAACATCGACAATATTTGACAAAACAACTGCAGCTACAACTGCTAATTTAGAGTTATTTTTCTGAAAGAAATAACGCAGCACAATTATCATTGTTTTATAAGTTATTTATCATACTTAATTCAAAGCAGAAATTTAATTCATCTAATCAAACTCAGCAATGTTGCTTTGAAAGGTGATAACAAACCCACACTTTATAGAGAAATTGCAAATTGTACTGAAATTTGATCAAAATAAAATTTGATAAATACCTGACATTAACCAAACAAACTTCTTGTGCTCTAATTACAACACTACAAGCAATTGTATTTCTTATGCATGATTTCCTTGAAGAAGGCTTTACATTTGTTTATAATTAATTTACAAAAAAGATCCTTTGGAGCTAGGTTTTGTTAATTATATTTAAATGACCAATAGTAGACTTTTTGTGAGTCTTTTAGAAATGTGCATAAGTATAAGGATTTTGGCAGATTTTATAAAATTTTTACCAGAATTTTGATAATCCTTAAAAAATATTATGCAAGATATTGCTTAGTTGTCTACATAAATACTACTGTCAGCTTTCTGAAGATAGCACAAATATATATACTAAAGCAAGTAATAATGGTAAAAATTAACAAAAAGATTTTGATGTTAAACTTATGATCAATAAACATTATTTTATAAAGAGAAGAACCTGTATATTCAATTCAACCTCTGTCTAATTTTATTTGTCATCTTTTTAGTATTTTATGTTATTTCTTTTATTCTAATAAAACATTGCAGTCATTCTTTTTTAATTAAAAATTTGTGATACAAATTTTAAAGATTTGATCTAACAGTTTCAATTTTACAAATAAAAACCACCAGAAATGGGGAATCAAATATAGATCTCGTATTATATTGCAAATTACTATAAAAAATATTATTATATTTTTTATAGTAATTTGCAAAAAAAAAAATTACATATTCATTTAAAAAAGATCAAGTAAAAGAATTCCAAAAAAGACAAAGACAAAATAAACATTTCTAGCAAAAATGTATTTCTTTTTATTTCAATTATAAAAAATACAAAACTAAAAACCTTTTTTTTGTTCAATGGAGAGTTTTAGGCAATCTTAGCAACATGAAAGATTATTTTTAGTAGCATATTGGTGGGTTGATATAGTTATCTGGAAGCCTATTTCAGTACTCTGTGTTGTTGGAATAAACTGAAGCAGGCAATCAGTTAACAGAAAATCTAGCACAAATTAATGTGAGAACTCAAAGAAAATCTAACTATTATTAAACCATTTTAATAAAATAAAAATAAAACAATTATGGTGCAAACAAGACTCTTAACCATAACAAAAAATAAGTTTTTATACTTGAGCCATAAAAAAACTTGCCTTATAATTTTTTATGGAAAATGCAACAAATCAGGCCGTGTAATTTAAGTAGGCCGAGATATATATATATATATATATATATATATATATATATATATATATATATATATATATATATATATATATATATATATATATATATATATATATATATATATATATATATATATATATTCCGAAAAATATTTCAATCAATTCCATGAAAACTACTTCCATACTTGAAATCAACGATACTAATGATTAATTTGGATAACTATTTTAAATGTTTGTTTGTTTATTGGCCTACAAACCATGCTTACTAGCTATTGTATTATCAATTGATTCGCTGCAAAGTACTACCTTACATTGTTGACACAATCTTTTTATAAACAAGCAAAATATGTATGCGACTGTCCCATAGATTGTTTCATAAGAATTGCAACAGGAAATCTGTTTCAAAGAACATTACTTTTTTTATTATCTTTAAAAAATAGATAATCTTTTTTAATTAGTTATATTTGCTAATCTTCAAATAAGGAATTTATATCCATCATCACACTAAAATCTGTTTCTGCCAGGCAATTGCTATTAGACTTGCTAGTTTCTACTGACAACAACAAAAGGATATTATGGTAAGCTACTCGAAAAACAGATTGTCTGTCATTCCACCCTCCTTTGCTCAGTATAGTTCCAAAAACACTTTCTAAGCAATCTTAGTTGAAACAAGATGTACAAACACAAGGAAATCTTTCCAAGAGAAGTTCCTGACACAATTCCAGTATACTGATAATCGCAACATATTACCTCCAATGACTAGCTATTTAGGATTGGGATTGTACAACACAAAACTTCTATTTCTTAATCCAAGTTTGGAATTCTCTCAACCATATTGTGTTATTTTCATTAGTTGTTATAGCACAACGAGCAGGTTTATCATCATGAAGCTTTCTTGAATTTAACAGATCAAAAAGAATATCAAATTTTTTCAACAAACTGAGCAGTTGCTCTTATTGTTGACGATAATATATTTTCAATGACACACAAAGGCTAGATTAACTCTCATTTTTAGAAATGCTTCAGGATCAAGATGTTTGTGAGACAAATTTTAATGCCAGACGGATAGGATTGCATTTGTCTATCTCGTAAAGTATTCGAATGTCATCGATGTCAAGGCCATCGCTCTTGACATTTCTAAAGCGTTTGATAAAATTTGGCATGCTGGTCTTCTTC